GCAAAGTGAGCCTGGAGCAAGTTACTGTTGCAGTGGAGGATGGAGGGAAAGCAAAGATGAGAGACATAAGTAAAATCAGAGTGTCTAGGAAAAATTAAAGGGAAGATATCCTAAAACTTCCAGGAAATCTCCACCAGTGAAGCAAAGAAAAAAAAAGCCTCTATTATTCTGTGAGCAACAAACCAAACTGGGTTGGGGTCTCAGACAATTCGCTCATATGATTGCGAAGACAGAAACTCATGGATTGGAAAGGGCTCCCCTGAGGGTTCCCAGATTGGAGAGGGTGCATGTCGGGCTGAGGGACCCCCTCTTCACCCCTAGTGCACCAGACCCCTAGTAATAATAATAATAACAACAAGCCCAGCTGGTATGACTCGGTTGAGTTCGGTTCATGCACCAGGAGGTTGTAGGTTTGATTCCTGGTCAGGGCATATGCCGGGTTTGCAGGCTCGGTCCCCAGGGGATGTGCAGAAGGCAGCCAGTTGATGTTTTTGTATCCTCTTTTCCCTTCCTCTCTCTGAGGTCAATAAAAACATTTAAAGTAATAAGAGTAGTAATAATAGAATAGCAGCAAGTATTGAATACCTACTATCCTATTTTCACAACACCCCTGTTGGCCTACTTTTTCAGATAAAATAAAATACGACTTTTAATTAGTCTTTCATTAATATATGATTGGTTTCCAACTGCTCTGCAGAAATTCTTATAGAATCCCACCTAGTGTTCTTTGTATCAAGGGAAAAGAGAATGAAACCATTTTATTTCATTGTATGGAGGGACTATTAATTTAATCTGTCCTTGTTAGACATTTAGGTTGTTTCCAGTTTTTTTTCCCATTACTATAAACATGCTAACATATATGAGTGCCGGGAGCCGGTCCATCCTTGCTGTTTTAAGGGACCTGGCATATATGGCATACTGTTCTTAATATGTTTGCTCACCTTGGCACTATGTGTTTTAACCAAGGTCATCTCTCCGAGAAAGGTTGTTTCCCCAGGTAGAGATTTTCCCCTGAAGTTAGGAAGGGAATAAAACCCCTTCACTAAGTGCCAGGCGGGTAATTAATCTCTTTAACTACGAACCATCATGCTTAAGCTACATAATCTTTACTCCCTGGAATGGAGATAAGAAACGCCCTAACCTTTGGAATAGAGATTGATAGGATTGAATCAACTGGTATAAATACAGATGTAAAAAGACAACAACACACAGAACTTAGATGAAGATCCTAGGCACAGAACTTAGAAGACAGAACTTAGAACACAGAACTTACTAGCAAGAGAACATGGACACAGAACTTGGCTGGAGATTGTGGCTAGAGATCCTGGCAAGGCTGCTGATCAACTGAACGCTGTCTCCGTGTCATTCCTTCCTCGCCGACTCTGCCCACACCTTTGGGGACCCCTGGACCTGTTGGGGTTGGACCCCAGCATATGAGAATTCAGATAAATTCCTCAAGTGAATTTATTGTTTCATACATAAATTGCAGCAGTTTTTATTATTTTCAACAAACGTACTTTTTCTTTTTTTACCCTCTAGGATATGTTTATTGATTTGGGGGTGGGGGGTAGGGAAGAGAGTGACATTGATGTGAGAGAGAAACATTGATTTGTGGCCTCCCATACACACCCTGACTGGCGATTCAACCTGTGACCTAGGTATGTGTCTTAACCGGGAATTGAACCCGCAACCTTTTTGGTGTAGGGGACAACACTCCAACAACGGTGCCACCCAGCCAGGGCCACAAAAGTACTTTCTTAAAAAGATTGTACTGGCCCTGGTGGGGTAGCTCAGTTAGTTAGAGCATCGTTCTTATATGCCAAGATTGTGGGCTCAATCCCTGGTCAGGGCACATATAAGAAGCAACCAGTGAATGCATAAATAAGTGGAAAATCAGTGTTTTTCTCTCTATCCCCCTCCCACTCTTTGTAAAATCAATCAATCAAATTTTTTTTTTAAAAGATTGTACTAATACACATTAATAGCATTGTGTATTAGAGCACCTATTACCCTTTCTTAGGAAATAACTTACTGATTTTCTTGTGGTCAGTACTATCCTTTTTGTACTTTATTACTTAGGGGATGTACACCATAAAAATGTTTTGTTTTTCTTCCCTTCCAAGGAACCCCGAAAGCTAAGTTATGCAGAAGTGTGCCAGAAGCCCCCTAAAGAGCCATCTCCAATTCCTGTGCAGCCGCTACGAGAACTTCGCTCCAATGTAGTGTCTCCCACCAAAAATGAAGAGAATGGAGCTCCTGAGAAGTCCATTGAGAAACCACATGAGAAGCCAGAAGCAAGGCCTAGTAAGGATTATTCTGGCTTCCGAGGCAATACCATTCCCAGGGGAGCAGCTGGAAAAATCAGGGAACAGAGACGCCAGTTTGGCCACAGGGCCATACCTCAGGGAGTTACTCGACGTAATGGCAAAGAGCAATATGTGCCACCCAGATCACCAAAGTAAAACAAACCAACCAACAAACAAAAACTATTCAAAAACAACTCTCTCTTCCCATTAAACTTGAGCTGTGGCTATATTGAACTGTTATGGAGGGGAGAGGGTGACCAGGAAGGAAACAAGAGAAAGTATATCCTTAAATCATTACAGATTTTGGAGCTGTGAGCAGTAGAATCCCAAAATTCATCTCTAAAGTGATTTTAAAATGCTGGAGGATTCCAATCAGTATAAATATATATATATGTATACATATATAAAAATATAATTTTTCTATTTTTGTTTTTGATTTTAATTTGCAGAGATCTGCCTGGAATCAATTTTGAGGGTTCAGATTTAGCTTGGGGAAAAAACATATTACACATCCTTCAGTATAGGAGATGAGGGAGTGAGAGAAATATTTTTTGAAGAAGCATTTCTGTAAAATTAGAAATTACTTTTTTAAATATATTTAAAGTTTGGCTTAGAGAATGCCATCTCTGCCTTTATGGCCTTGTGTTGCAAAGCAGATCAGTGGTTGGAGTGCCTGTTTGGGTGTGTTGTGTGTACAAGAGTGACTGAAGCCAAATCTGTTGTCATGTTAGTAAATGATTTGAAAACTGAATGTAATAATGTACTTGAGTAGATTATTTTTCCAGTTTGATATGTAGTCTCCTTTTGACCTTACTAATATTTTATTCAACAAGCTTTTGATTGTACTTGGAGATGTGACTACCAATCAGTTTGATACTCACGGAAAGAATGGGGGTTAATCAGATAATTGAAAAATCTGTCTTAGATCTGAGTAGGGGTAGATCAAAAGGCCAACAGAGGTTTAAACTGGCCTGTGATTCCCCCCTCCCCCTAAAATAGGAAATAATTTTTTGTGTGTTACTTCATTTTTGCTACTTTCTGTTCTTTGACTACCAACCCCCAGAAGTAAATTTAACTAACCACCTACATAATTGTATGTTTTTAACCACCTTGACCAGTCTAGTCAAATCATATAACTGTTCTAAATTTCTGAATTGAACAGTGAAGTATTTTACTCTTCTGTTCATGTATTTAGAAGTTTAGATCCCAGAATGGTAGAGCAGACTATATTTTATTTGTATTAGTGTTAAAGATGAAACATTGTAATTGACTCTTAAAGTGTTAAATAGTGTAGAAGTAAAAATAATTTTTAAAGGCTTAATTTGGGGGCAACTTTTTCTGTTTACAGTGTATTTATCATAACCTGCCTTTCTTCCCTTTCTCCAAAAAATTAAAAAAAAAAATACAGTTTGAAATTCACAGAAGCAGAGCCAGCAAGTCAGGAGATTTTTGAGTTAAGGTGAAAAAGGTAGTTGAAGAAAATTATTACATAATATCTCAGTGAATCAAGTTGTAGCCCTCATATTAAGTAGGCAAGTTTACATGCTAGTGTATGGAAAATGGCTAAAGTAGTAAAAATCATGTTGGATTAATCTGTTTTAAGTCATACCATTTTCAGAGTTCTATGTAAGCCGGGGTTTTGTTTTTTTAGGGATAGTTTGTAGCAGTAATAACTGACAT